TATGGGTGATGCTAGTGTTATTTTGGGAATCAAAATTTTAAAATATAATGATTCCATTATTTTATCACAATCCCATTTTTGTTGGGAAAATGCTTAAGAAGTTTGAATATTATGAGTGCACACCCTTATCTTCTCCTTATGATGCTAAAGTGCATTTAGTGAAAAATAATGGGGATAGTGTATTACAGTAAGTATGTACAGATTATTGGTAGCCTTATGTTTTTGATGAATTATACTCGTCCCGATATTGCATATGTCGTTGGTAGATTGAGTAGATATACTCATAATCCTAGTGAAGATCATTGGCATGTAATATCAAAACTAATGAGATATTTGAAAGGCACCATTGATTATGGTTTATCCTTTTGTGGCTATCCTTCTGTGTTGGAAGGTTATTGTGATGCTAACTGGATTTCTGATGCAGATGAGTTAAAGCCTACTAGTGGTTATGTGTTCACACTAGCTAGAGGAGCAATCTCTTGGATATCATCCAAGCAGACAGTGATTGCGAGATCCACTATGGAGTTAGAATTAATAGCCTTAGAAAAGGCTTGTTTCGAAGCAGAATGGCTAAGGAATTTTTTAGTGGATATTCTTATATCATTATTTACTAATCCAATTCCAACTGTAATTATACATTGTGATTGTCAGGCTGTCACTAAGCCACTGGCGAGGAGGCTAGTGAGCGAGACATTGAGGGGGATAGGACTATTGCCTATTTTAGAGACTATGTGATTGATACCCAACCCCTTTTGATGGGTGATTCCACTTATGGGTTAAATGGGAAAAGAAGTCACATACAGTCTTAAAGGGGCACTGTTACTTATTGTTATCCCACTTAGCGCTGAGGCCTAATGTGAAGGTCCATCCCTATGGTGTCATGACAGTGCCGTTGCAGTGAGGAGGTTGAGCTATTGCTTTTAATAGATTCATAGTCCCTAATTATTGGGATGGAGTGTTCAACTGCAGCACACTCCTAATGGATGCTACCTATATGTGTGTGAAGGTGGAGCCGCCTTCTATGTGACATGGACATGTCACTAGAGCACACATGAAAACTCAGGACAAACGCATGGCCGGTATTTATGGCGCCAACCCGCATATGAGAACAATTCTGATTAGTGGAAGGTATGTGAATGGTGAGTTGGTTAATTCACATTATGGGATATGGTTAAAGGAGTCTAACTCTACCATTATTTTTGGGGATTGCTCTCACTTTTTCTAGGTAAGGTTAAAACCTGTGTGGTACCTTATTGACGCATGTTTTCTCATTGTCCTCTTTTATCTTATTTGAATGTTTTGAAACATGTGGGGGATTGTTGGACTTTTCTTTTAGTGTGTTTCAAAATATTTGATTAGTTGGGTCTACACTCTTTTATTTTCTAAGCCCATGAACTTAGTTTTTTGTTGTCTTTGCAAAGCCCATAGCCCACTTCCTTTGTATTTTTACCGTTGGAGACTTGGAATAGCTTACAAAGGAAGCTATCACTTTTCCTCTTTTGATTAGGCAGACACTTCGGATCCCTCTTGTGCAAGATTTATTTTTTCCATCATTTCATTGATTTATTAAATAAATTACACAACAATTCTCTTTGTTAATTTAATTCCTATTTCCTTAAAGAGCTACACATCACCAAAATTACCCACATCTCAAAGAAATTTCTCCTTTACCATGTAAGTAGTAATGAATTTGTTCTTTTTAATTCATATTACAAATTTGTCATTAAATATTTGCTCTTTTTAGTTAATGTTTTTGTTGGTTCAGTTGTGGATGTTTTGACATGAATTTATTATTGTTAAATGTTAGGCGTTAAATGTGCTATTGCTATTTTCGGTATTTCTTTATTCAAACATTTGTATGATTTTATAGAATGAGAAAATATTTAAATATTAAGAAAAATTACAAGGTTGTAGACATTCAAAGCCAAGCTAATCACCAATAAATAAAAATCCAAAATCAAGCTAATTACAAATAAAAAAAATAACAAGTAATATCAATTGCACCAAAAAAACATTAAAAAAAAAAATCAAAGCTAAACTAATCACAAATTAAAAAAAAATAGCAAGTGATACCAATTATCAAAAAAAAAATAATAATAATAATAAATAAAAAAACAAGTGAAATCAATTGCTCCAAAAAAAATTTATTCAAAACCAATCTATAAAAAAATTTCTAGGTTGTAAACATTCAAACCCAAGCTAACCACCAATAAAAAAAATAACAAAGCCAAATTTGTATGATTTTATAGAATGAGAAAATATTTGAATGGTAAAAAAAAAATTCCCAAACATTTAAAGTCAAGTTAATCACCAATAAGTGAAATCAATTGCACCAAAAAGTTTAATTTTATATGCTCTACATGCAGGTTGATGTTATTCAAATGTCTTATCGTTGTGTGTTAAAACTTTACAAGTAACATAGTGTCTTCAGGCACGGGTAATGACTAGTAAATTAATATTACTCTTAATCTTGTCATGGAAATTCATTTGTATCTATTTCTATACTATTTATAAAATGTCAGCATTTGTGAAAAAATTTTAATTTCTTAATTTATCCCTAATTATTATTATAAAATCAATTATACCCACATATTTTTTTCATCCAATTTTTTTTTTATATCCATATTTGACTTCAAAATTCTTTTGAATTCTTTTGTAAGTAGCATTTGACTTCTAAATTATTTTGGACTCAATTATTAGTAGTTTACTTACATATAGTCTTTTATATTCTATTATTTATTATATACATGTAGTTGTCATATTGGCTTATATTGGCAAATATATATCATATTTAATTTTTTTTATATGCAACAATACTATAATATTATAATACAAACAGCAGTTTACAATTTAGTTAACCTCTTTGGCAAAAAAATATAATAAATATTTAATTTATTTAGATGTGCAAATAAATTATAATCTTACAACGAAACTTCACTATAAATAAAAGAGAAAATGTCTAAAGTAACTAGGGAAATAACTACAAAAAATAACAGATTAAGTACTCAAAGATTGGTAAAATAAATCAATAATTAAATTAAAATTAATTATTCATAACATAATTTATTATTCAATGAAATTATAAATATAATTTTTTTTTAAATTATTATTTAAATATGTTTACGTGCAACACACGCCGTGCATTGCTAATAAACTTAGATGCAAATACGATCAGTAAACTTATAGTCAACTCATTAGGATACAAAAAATTAATTTCGTACAACATAATTTTTTTAGATCTTAAAACATTATTCATTCCGACATCCTCCGTATAGTATCCGGCTCAAGAGCCGGGCCACTAAAATGGTCGCCTTGGACTCTCAAAATTTTAGGACCCTAACTAAATTTCCAGTCCTTAGTGCAAGCACATACCATGAGGCCCTTTTGAAAAGATTGAGTTTACAAGACCAATGTATTTGACAAACATTCTATGTAAAATCTTCTGGAAAGATCTAGAAATAGGAAAGGTTTTTACAAAGTCCTAAAAATTAGCGTAACTTTGTAGAAAGGTCGAAACAATTGCATACCCTTCTAGAAATGTCTAAAAATAGCAATGTCTTTTAGAAAGACAAAAAAATAGAAAAACATTATAGAAATATTTCAAAAATAGCGAAGCTTTTAGAAAAGTCTGGCCGAAAAAATAGAAAGATCTTTAAAAGAACAAAACCTTCTAAAAAAATCCTAAAAAATTTGCTTATTCAAGCAATTTGTCTTGCATCCCTTGCACTCTTTCTCTCTCTATATATATATTTTGGCCACCACTCTCCAACTCTTTGACTCTATCTTACCCTTTTCAAGACTCAAGGATATGCAAATAATTCATAAAAATAAAAGGGATTTAATGTATTTTCACTAAACACGAAGGGGTACCAGTGTATATAATTTACTCTAAAGTTTATGAGTAACATGAAAACCGCCATGATTTTAGGCCTTCTCTATTTTAACTCTTTGGTTTACATCTCAAATTAAACCACCAAGCATTTATTTTTATTTTTATTTTTTTTTGTTATAGGGTATTCAGGTTTGTACCAATTACTCCCTCAAGCTTAGCGGTTGACTACCGTGACTTAAGCTAGGCTATAGCATGTCCTTAAAGTGACAAGAGTGATTAGCCCTCAGGGAGTATGGAATGGGATTAAAGCTTAAACGTCTACCTTACCAAAGGTCAAGCTCAACCATTGACCCACCCGATTTCACCAAGCATTTTTTTAGTACTTTCCAAAAATATCAAACACCAAGCATTTTTTTAGAACTTTCTAAAAATATCAAAAAGAAGTTGATGGAAGGATTGAGGGATATATTGCCACCTAGGATAGAGAATATCAAGTTTCTCTCACAAATTAGGAGGGACAATTACACGCCATTGCCCCATAAACATTCATTGGATTTCCGTTTAATTATGCTAGAATTAAGGATTTTTCACATAATTAGGGAAAACAAATAGGGGAAGAGAGAGAAACACAAAGAAGAGGAGAGGAAAAGCAAGAGCTATCTATACACACAACGCATTTTCTTCTCTTCTTCTTCTCCTCCCATTTTTCTTCTTTCTTTTCAATATTATGTCTCTGTAAACAATATTAATTGGGAGCTTCCCTTGTTGAAGAACAACGTTCAACGCAAGTGTTGTATAAAAAAGGCTCTAAAGCAGGTAGGTCTTCATCCGTTGTATATATAGAGAGAGAAAGAGGTAGGTGTAGATTAGTGAAGTTGTCTACCATTAAAGAGTGTGTTAATTGAATTCTTTGACATTACGAGCCATGCAAAAAAGATGAAGTTTTTAACAGAAAAAAATATTGGATGAATTTTGTAACATTTGATCAATTTTAACCGTTATTATATTTTTATAAGTTAAAGATTAATTTTTTTAACAGATAGATATATATATATATATATATATATATATATATATATAGATTGAATTTTTAGAGGGATATATGCTAACTAAATTAGGTCTTTGGGCTTTCATTCGTTGCAATCATACGTGAATGTATTGCACGTAGACGCAGGAAGGTTGTCGGACACAGCCGCCGCCTTATTAGAACTGGTGGTGCCCCGTAATGTGGTTGTGGTTGCCGGCATCCATGGAGGAGAAAAAAAAACACACACACTCAAAAATATTCGTAAACACGTATTTGTATGTACATATATATCAGACACATGCAAATGCATGCATGCACCTAACAACAATGTCTTCTACGGAGTTTCTACTCCTTCGCTTATTAATTTGACCTAACTCTTTTCAGGCCGGGACTTTGCATCGTGTACAAACTACAAGTTCCATTTCTATGGCTCCAGGCAAGTTTAAAAAAGCAATCGGGGCGGTCAAGGACCAGACCAGCATAGGCCTGGCCAAAGTGAGTAGTAGTAGCTCACTATCTGACCTTGATGTAGCCATCGTCAAGGCCACTCGACACGAGGAATACCCGGCCGACGAGAGGCACATTCGAGAAATAGTGGGATTGACATGTTATTCTCGTGGCTACGTAAGTGCATGTGTGAATACCATCTCAAAACGCCTTAATAAGACCAAGAATTGGGTTGTGGCACTGAAAACCCTAATGTTGATCCAACGACTGCTCACCGATGGTGATCCTGCATACGAGCAAGAGATCTTCTTCGCGACGAGGCGTGGGACCCGCATTCTCAACATGTCGGATTTCCGAGACACTTCTCAATCCAATTCTTGGGATTACTCTGCCTTTGTGCGTACATATGCTTTGTATCTTGATCGGCAGCTCGAGTTCAAGATGCAGGACCGGCGGGGGAAGCATAGCGCATTTTCGTACGAGGACAATGAAGAGGAGGTCGGTCCGACTGCCGTTGTTGTGAGGGCCACACCGGTGAGGGAAATGAAGAATGAGCAAATATTTTCGAGGGTTCAACATTTGATGCAACTCCTGGAGAAGTTTTTAGCATGTCGACCAACAGGTTCATTGGTGTACTTTCTACGAATGCAATCACTAATTACGTAAAATACTAGTCAATCCTAATCCGACTAGTCTGTCGACCAATTAATCACATTTATTGCCTTAAAAAATTGCGTTATTTATATTTGACACTAAATTGACTTAATTATTATTTTAGCGGATCTTACCATTTTTGAATTTTAGGAAGAATTGTCAATTTTAACTCACTAATTTTATATCATGTAAATCTATCGGGTCAAAAATTGCCGACCCCATAGTAAATATATATTTCTGTGTGATATACTTTCTAGCCCTTGCTGATGCATTCTCTAATCATCAATCTTGCAACAGGTGCAGCAAAGAACAACAGGGTTGTGGCTATGGCTCTCTACCCTACAGTGAAAGAAAGTTTCCAGCTATATTACGACATAACAGAAATAATGGGCTTAGTAATTGATCGGTTCATGGAGCTTAGCATCTCCGACTCTGTCAAAGTACATGAAATTTTTTGTCGCATTTCAAAGCAGTACGATGAGCTTGACATGTTCTACAACTGGTGCAAGACTGTCGGAATTGCTCGAGCTTCTGAATATCCTGAGGTTGAGAAAATCACACAGAAGAAACTTGATATTATGGATGAGTTTATACGCGAGAAATCGGCCATGGCGCAGAACCAGAGGTTGAAGAACGTTGAATCAACGAATGACCCTGATCAAGTGACCGTTGAAGAGGGGGAGGAGCCCGAAGAGGACATGAATGCAATCAAAGCATTGCCACCACCAGAAGGATTTCCTGAAGAAACTGATGAGAAAGAAGAGGTGGAAGAAAAGAAAGAGGAAGAAAATAAGACCCAACAAGAGGGTGATTTGTTGAACTTGGGTGAAGATGCACCGACCTCCGAAGAGCATGGAGATAAACTGGCTTTGGCTTTGTTTGATGGTGGTCCAGCAGCAGCAACAGCTGCAACGGGTACTTCCGCATGGGAAGCCTTCAATGAATCCGGAGATTGGGAGACAACATTGGTTGAATCAGCAAGTCATTTGTCGAACCAGAAAGCATCACTTCCTGGGGGATTCGATACCTTGATGTTGGATGGTATGTATCAACAAGGAGCGATGACAACTGCTGCAGTTTCCTCAGGTTATATAGCTACTGGAAGTGCTAGCAGTGTTGCGCTCGGATCGGCCGGAAGGCCGGCAATGCTGGCATTGCCGGCACCTCCAACAGCTGATGGTGAAGCTGCTGCAACACCGGGTGCTGACCCGTTCGCAGCCTCCCTTGCCGTGGCACCACCGTCTTACGTACAGATGTCAGATATGGAGAAAAAGCAGAGACTGCTGGTGGAGGAGCAGTTAATGTGGCAGCAATATGCAAGGGGTGGGATGCAAGGACAGGTAGGGTTAGCAAATGTACAACCAAACTCCTATCCATACAATACGGGGAGTTACACAAACACCTATTAAGGCTTTTGATGAAATTGGGGTAGCATCAGTATGGTCATTTTTGTGAGGTCTGGGGTAGTATCAGTATGATTATACAGATTCTAATTAAAAAAATTACTCTATTACACTGATAAGCACTAGTTGGTACCCATCATTGTTGGCACAACGAGAGTTCCTGAAGAGAATAAGTTACTGGAAATTTTCCAATGGTTTAAAAAAAATGCAGGATGCAGTGAGAAAATCACTCTGCGGTAACAACCAAAACACTACCTAAAACCAGTTTTGCTGTCGACAAAAGCTTGGATCGATGGTTCCCTTCCAAGAAAATCATACAATATTTCAACAGGATCTCTTGTTCCTCCTGGAGCTAATACCTGACAATGATTTTACTATGTTAAAGTGATACATAAATCCTATCCCTAATACTAGTAACGGAGAATTTTTATAAATCCATTTGTTGATTCATTGAAGTAACTTGATTACCTTATTCCTGAATTCCAAGCCTGCATATTGGTTGGAAAGATCACCACCAAACTTCAAGGCAAATATATCGGCCGCAAAAACCTATAAAGGAGTGTAAACATTTACAAGGGGTGCACAATCAAAGAGGCAAAAGCATCCACTGTAAATGTTTTGCAACTCTTGAACAAATTCATTATAGCTAATTTGTCATAAGGCATACAGCAATTAAAAATCAGAAAATATACCGAACAGTGGCAAATCATAGCAATCCAACATACTACAATCATTAGAGCCAATATCCGAGAACACTAGTAATAATGATAGCTAGTAATAGCAGAAGATAATGTATTTCCAGCAATATGAATACCAACAAAGGTGTGATTCACACCTCACTCCAAATGCGACTGTAGCAAGCAGCTTCATAGCCAATAGCACTACGCAGGAAACAGGAAGCTGGGTTGGATCCTTCTAACATTGGCAATCCTAACATCACCTGGGGAACAAAGCCACCGGTAAATGTACTTACCACAAGCCTACCTCATAAATGAACTACATCAGCAACTAATACCTTTGGATGGAGATGCTTGAATAACCCAACAATGTCAATATTTTCAGTTGAATGTATGATCTGATCAAAGAGACCTGGAATTGACATTTCTGAGCTTCATTAAGTAGGCAAAAACTTTTGAGCTATCTGCATTACATTGATTGTGCATAAGTATGATATACTTCAATGTGCCACCAATATGCTCTTAAGTTCAATAGTGTTGAGAAGGTATTAGCCACCAGTGACTGTACTATCCTAAAAGAAGTTTTGGGCGGTGCTTCCTCTTGAACCTCGCACAAAAATAGTTCTCGCCATCAGCTCGACTAAGAGTTCTGCATCAATAAAGTAAATTGAAGTTGCCTTGAGATGAAGGAACCGAGTGCCGAAAAAACCGCTTCCTTAAGGCTTCAAACTGCTAGTCATTAAGACTACTATGAAAGAAAAGTAAGGAAGCCCTAATCTTGACTCATTCTGCGTAAAATATAGTACCCCTTTATAAAGAACTTGATTTCAATCTCAAGAGAGAAATGAACACATAACTTCTTGTCCTTATAAACAACTCCCAAATATGGACATTCATTGACCTTTTGAAGTTTTGATTAGCCTAATATGGAATGATAAGTAACGCTAAGAAACAATTCTTGTAGTGAAATGAAATGATTACTTTCCACAAGAAGGCAAACTGCTTTTGCAGCACTTCAAGGATGTTGAAGTTCTTTAGTAACATTTTAGTTGGAAACTTAGGAATTGCCTCTGTTCTAATCGTCTCTTTTATATAGCATCTTTGTTTCTGTTCCACTCTTTCCTTTCCGTAACGCATTTGTGAGTTCAATCTATAGACAAACTACAAGAGACATTGTAGAAACATATAGCTGAAGATGCTTAAGTGCTTCAAGTGCATTTAAGCACATAAAACTTATGTGAAAGATATTGCATTAGTCCTAGTCCGTCTCTTAAATCACAAGCAATCCTATTGTTTTTTTTATCTCATTCAAAATTAATTTTGGCCTACCCCTACCCCCGAATTACTATCAATACACATCAGAACACGTTTTCTCACTAGTGCAGTAATAAACCTTCTATAAACATATCCATATGTCACAAAAGTTCTCAGAAGTCCACAACTCACTTTTCTAGGGTTGCATGCCAGAATGCACCTGAAGACACATAGATCTGAAGTTTTGAAAATTCAAGGTAAGTGCTTTATTCCCAACCAAATCAAACATTTTTATAAATGTCCACTCCATATTATGGCACATTATGTTAGAAGGATAACAGCTAAACACTCACTCAGCCCAATGCCTTTGATCAGCAAAGCATGTCTCTGCTAAACACATGGACTTTTTGCATGTTAGACAAATTAATCGAAATCCCACCATTCACTTTGAGCGTGAGGTTAGGGAAGAATACCTATTGGGACACACATAATGAATGGACAGACCGTTAAAGCAGAATTCTATACCCAACAATTAATAGTTTCCATTCAAGCTATTCACATGGCCAAAAGCTTGTGTGAGGAGAATATTTAAACCAAGTGCTGTGAGGAGGACAGGACATCATTAAACAAGCAATAACATTAGCCACAATGTACAGCACAGTATTTGACAATCTAGTAACATGGCAACACTATATGACTTCATCTCAAATTAGGATGTTGAAATAAGTAGGTGACAAGAAAAAAGATGAAACTGCAACATTCAATATAAGATAGGGATAACACTAAAAAAACATTCAGCATAAGAATGAAAACAAAGCATTTATGTGCAACAGAAAGCATGCACCCGTAATATCATCCATTTGGATGCGCAACACCATTTGGATGCGCAACAAATATATTCAGAAAGTAAGAGTGAACACATGAGGCAGTGAGATAGATGCTGATGTCTGAGCAAAAACTTCATATGCATAAAGCTTTTCTTCTGACGTTCATATATGCCACTAATATGATTGTAACAATTCTGAACCTCTAAAGACTTTCACATTTATCTCGCAGCTACTTCCTGAATGAGGAGAACTTGTGGAACTGCCCATTTTCAGACAAAAAAATAATAAAGGACTTACAGTAAAGAATTTCTTGCTTCAATTTAAGCGCTGAAAAGGAACACCGCCATCTCTTTAGAGATTTGCATATGTCATCCTTGATGGGCTTTGTGATATCCTACATATCAAAGACGTAAGTAGTACAACACATGATAGGGAGATCACGTAACAAAATATGGTCAACATAGTCTGTTAACAAGATAGGCACGGTATTATTAAGATTAAAGGTAGACAAGCAGACCCCCAACTCGTGGTTAGAAAACTCATAAGGTGCACAACAATGCTGCATACACACCTTGTTAGTCAGGTTTAACATATGCTTTGAAGAAAAGTACAAGGCTCTTTCAAAAGAATAGTACAACAGCAAATTAGAAGTCTATGCTTTACACATATCAGGACAAACTAGACGTCAAAAGCAAGTATCACCTGATGGAAACCAGATATCAACTTCAAAGAGACGCTTTCGTAACACCTAGACAGAAATTTTCCACAAGAACAACAGCATGAGATTTTGATTTTGTCTACACAAAATATGTTATAGTACACTTAAAATACTTACCAATTTTCCATCACCTGGGCCGGTATCTCCACAAAATCAGGATCCAGACGCAGTCCAGAAAATCTAGCAAATGATGCATGACTGCAAATATGATGAACCTAAAAGCTCATCATAAAGGAACATCATGTCAGCACAGATATCAGTGACTTGAAAAAATAGATCCTGATACTTTCAAGAAGGCACATTAGATAAAAAAGATAAAACTGCCGTAAAGTCTAGTATTGTTTGCATAGATGATCCAGCTCTCAAGTGGCACAAGAAGAATCCCATGCACTTTATTTGCTAAATTACATGGCGGATACTACAAGGTTGTGCCTAAGCTTTTTGGCTCAAAATGGCCTTCTACTTTATAAAGGAAAATTTTGGGTTTGTTAGTCCAAAAGTGAATAGATGGTGGAAATGCAACGCAAGAAATCTAGGATCTAATTTCTGGAGTACTACTACCCCAAAGGTGAAGTTGAGCAATTACGCTATGCATAGAAATAGAAGAATTAACTTATCAATCAGATCCAGAATAGAAACATAATAGAGAAATCATATAAAGGGAAACCTTTACAATTAACACCTACAGGAAATAACAGCCTAATTTTCCTGCTATTGTCCCAACTCATTATTATAATGATGGAAAGTCAAACTTCAAAATGCATGTATTCTTGCACTCAAAATCACATAAAAATAACGGAGAGACAAACATGCAAATGCATTCTATTCTGAAATAAACAGAGAGAGAAACCTAAAACTGTGAAAATTAGAAGGTGCATGCAAAGAAATGTGTTTGTATAAGCACGCAGACACCAATTTCTAATATTTTTCCAGAAGCTTAGACACCAATTTCAGTTCAGGAACAACGGCATTTCTATATAACCGACAAATCAAAGCAAGCAATATCCACGGAAGATGATGAACAAGCATATCCAAACGAAAGTCTAGTCATGCTAAAGTGCTGAATCATTGTTGCACAACATATTCACTGATCTAACCACATTTACCATAATCAGTGTCTCTTTTTCCCTTTATTTATCTGATTAACACACCAAAGAAAACTGAATTTGCACCAAGTGCCAAATTTATATCCGTAAACATTATCAAGACAAATTCTAAGTGTGCCAATTGCTTATTGGGTATTATGCATCAAATTACAGTAAACCTTTGGAACTGATGAACAGTTATTTCATAGTGTAACTCTGTAATATTTGAGTCATCCATAGTTAACAAAAATGTTAGAGTACATATTCAACCAAATTAAATAATCCACTAAAGAATTGGCAGAACCATTACCGAGTTCCTGTCAAGCCAAACACCCCAAAACAATATAGGAGGTCAGCTCTCAAAGCAGCTCTTGATTCAGTAATAATACTCATCATAGGACAAAAGAAAAGGGAGAAGATGGATTTCTTCAACCACAGGAGCCAAGAAGGATAAAAATTTATATTGATGTTGGATTGCCAATTTATTGAAACAAAGAAGAATTTAGAGAGGTTTAGATTAAAACAGCTTTTCGTTTGCCAAATGAATATCAATTGGAAAAACACTTGCATTGAATTATCAAAAGAAGGCTAGCTGTTCAGAGTTTTTTCATAGTCC